GTTTTTAGAGATACCTATCAATATTTCTTTATTTAGGGCCCACAGTTTTATACTAGAACCAATTTCTAATTTACCAGTTCCAAAAGCTAAACAGTAGTTATTATTGACATTTGAATAAAAAGCCAACCATGAATTTTCTGGGGAAAAATAATCTACCTCCAGTTTACTTCAAGTAACTTTAACAGTGCTCTAGTGATGGTAGGTCTATCTCCATGAAGATGGCTTTAAGTAAATGGTATATTAAACTAGTGATTCCTTATTAATGTAAGTCACTTACTGCATCAGTTATAAAATCACTTTTGAACTAATGTATAGCCTCCTATCATTCTATTTTACACACAAAAATCCATTTATGTGTAAATTGGACAAAATTCAGAAACATTTTGAAAAAAAATCAGAAAAAAATTAAAATAGCAGGATCCTAAATAAGCTAGGATTTAGATTTTGAAAGACATTTGGTGTTTCTTAAATGAGAAAGACTTCTAGAACTGAATGTAGTGTTGGCAAATGCTGTTGGACATTCCCTATTTGATCCAGCTGAAAAACATGCCAGAAGAGAGATAAAAGGAGAACAAAGAAAAAAGCACTGGGGGTGGGGAAAAGTATGGGGAGAACAATTTTCAAAAGTGGACACAGAGAAGACATCAAAAGTGTCATACAGTTGTTTTACATATACATGCTCACCTTATGCGCCAGTCTGAGCCTCCCGTGGTCCTCAATATTTTCTACTTAAAATTATATTTGCATATAGGTTTTCCAATGATAAATTTCCCTTGAAAATCTGAATGGTGTTTTAGGTTTGCCTCACACTGTGCATGTAAATGTGAATTCCAAAGCACTTTTTGAACCATCCTAATCAACCAGGTTTTCCTTGTTGCAGGTTGGGGAGTGCATTAAATAAGTGAGAGTATTAGTCACAAACAAGCTGATTTGACAAGTTAAGCCGCTGGGCACAGAGAGTTTTTGTAACCATCTGGTTAATTCTTTGACAGTAATATTCAAAGTAAACAACTTGTCACACCGATCCATCCTGCTACCTCTCCTGTTATAATTACATGGCATTACAATCTGCATGCAGTGTTCAGCTTCTTTCCTTATATTCCCATGTGACAAGCTATTCTTTTAAGTGAATGAGATTCTTCCTAACTCCTGCTGCCCACTGATTTTCAACATAAGCATATGTACTTCATCCTTTATATCATGGTGAAGTATTTCCTGCTGGACATCTGGGCTAAATTATTGGACATCTATGGGCTAGATCTGGCATCAACACTTCCAGTGCTATTATTCACATGGAGATGAAGCTACTTGAATATTCATGAGATTTTGGTTTTCCAAAATCATTCTTGTTAACAACTGCTCTAATCTGTAGTACATACATGTTAAGGAGAATGAACAAAAAATGTTGCAAACTGTCAATTTTAGTTGGAGACTTGTATTCAAAATAATGGTAGGCAACACTTTTTTCAGTATTCAGTACTGCAAAAATGTTGCAAATGTATTTGTTATTTTTATACATGTATTTCTTTGCATACATATTGAAAAGAGTTCACAACTTGTCTTATATCATATGCTGTTTTTTGGTACTAGGCAAGAATTCTTGATGAATTCTGAAAACTAAAAGAAAGCACAAACATTAGAAGAGAAAATTGGAAAGCTACGATTATCTGAAAGCAAATTAAAAGTCTTATTTCAGCTTGTGGATTTGGTGCAGAACTGAAGTTTTTCAGCATGGAGGAGGGGAAATATGAGTGGGAGGCAGAAGGCAGAATGTGGATTTAGACCCTGTCTCCCTGAAGTTTTAAATCTATTTTTGATTCAAGGAGAAAAAAGTAAAATACTTGAGGGATTATTCCAGTAATAATTTATTAGCTTTTGTGCGTCTACCATCTACCATTGTTTGGAGATGTAAATATAAGAGAGCTAAGGCATGATGAATTATTATAGACAGTTACTATTATTAATAATCAACCTTTGGTGAATCCAAATAAAAAGCTCAGATTAAAAATGATCAGTGCTTTTCATTAGGACAGTCTTCTCCATTTCATTCTAAAGTGATGATAAAGAGAATGTACAGAAAAATAGAAATCTTGAAGTCCACTCAGGTTTTTCTCAGCTTTTACTCAAGAAAAACTCTTTTCTTAATTGAAGTTTGCCCATGTAAGGCTAACATACTCTGCACTGAAGAGAACCTCTGTTCTCTTTAGGCATGTACCTCTGTCTGATTACCGTTAACTAATAACAAAGTTACTATTCCTGCAAGAGATTAGAAGAAAACAATACTCTTTTCTGTCTTTCATTAGCCTTTATTGGAATGATTCATTTACTTAACAATAGGCTTACGTTTCTCTTGTCACCAGGTTTGTAATTAATAAAATGGTTATGACATAATTCAGGGGTTGGCAACTTATGGCCAAACTTATTCAGCCTGTGGATCCAGCTGGGGAAGGTCTGACCTGGCCTGGGGCAGCACACAGGACAGGGTGTCATAGAAGATTGGTTGGCACAGAGCTGCACCAGGCTCCTGTCTGCTCCCCAACACTCTTCTCTGCAGCCCTGCATGCACTCAGGATTGCAACTCCTGGTGGAGGGAAAGGTGAGCAGGGCCCTACCCTGAGCACTGACTTACAGAAGGTGCCAGAATGCCCTCCTAGGAGTCTCTGCTCTAGCAGGTGTGCCTCAGAGCTGCCAGACCCTGGAAGCCAGGCTGCCCTGCAGTCAGCAATGTATAGAGGCCAGGGGTTGAGTGAAACGGTGCCCTTCCCAACTCCCCCCTGCCTTTTTACTATGGGAGGTGCAGCTCCTCACCCAGTAGCATATCTGGTGTGGGAGGTGTGAACAAGGCATCAGAGGCAGCCTGCACAGCAGTGAGCCTGCCCCTCAGCTGCAGCGGCCCAAGCCCATACTGCTCCAGGAGCAGCAGCTGTTACCATAGTGCAAAGACAGTGGTGTCGGGTAAGATTCTGCATCCTCCTCGCCAGCCCTGTAGCAATCTACCTTCTGCCCAGGTTGCTGCAGGAGCTTGCTTCACCTCTGCCTGCACTTATTTTCAAGCAGGTGGCTTCAGCTCTCTGGATGGGGTAGAGATTTATGGCGCTTGGCAAGAGGCTGGGTTGCAAACTCTGATGTGCAGTGGCAAAAGGTTGCCAACTCCTGAGGTAATTTGTGTCTTGTGCACTATAGCTTGTGTTCTCATTATTTTTTCCTTAATTTAATAAAACACAGGAAACAAAAGGACAAACATGGGTTGTAAATTGTCCAGGAACCTCAGAGACAACTGTATGTGCCAACAGATGTTGCTCTTGGGCCACCATAACATTTTTATGGTGGCGCAAGTTGCGAGCAAGCAGATGTCTTAGCCCTTTGGTGTGCTCCAAGTACCCCAAAATACTACCATGTCCAAAGGCAGTCACAGCTTGTGGGGAGGACATCTGTTTGCTTATTGCACAGCATGGGAATTCCCTTGCAGGAAATCCTTGCTGGGGATTGCTATAGGGCTCATATCAGGTGGCTGTGCCCCAACTTGGGGTGCACATCTGCAAGCAAGGGAACCTGCATGTGGGACTTGGGGTATGGCATCTGGAGCTAAGCCCTGGGCATGGCAGGGACCCCACCCTGCAGCACAAAGGTTGGCAATGCCTATAGATGCCAATGAGGCAGACGTCCCAGTACAGCTAATCCTGCTCCAAAGAACATGTCTATTTATAGCCTGTAATAATTAAAAAAAAAAACATTACACAACTGGCCTGAGTTAATCTGAGAACAGAATTAGCTATTAGCGTTTGATCTACCTCTGTACCCTGTTGCGTGGTGAGCCCCTGCTTTGCAGAGATCTTGTTAGATCTCACAAACTAAGTTGGTTCAGAGAAGTTTAGCTGGGTTAGGCAAGGTAACTGCTGTTATGGAAGAATTCCAAGGATCACCTAGGTACAGCAGGCAGTAGTAGTAAAGTTCCAATAGGTGGCAGTCTTCCCTTTGAATCAGTACAGAACCAATGTCACAGCATGATTTTAATGGGTGAGGAACTGCCTTGTGTGTGGGACTTCCTTGGTGGTTAAGTGCTGCATAATGGACATTGAGAAATGTAGCCATCAAGACCCAAAGAAAGAATTATTACAGCCTCTCTCTTTGTGCCGCAAAATATTTATGCATATAAATTCCAACCCAGCTGTTACCTTTCAGATAATTTTTATACTGCTTTAAGGTTAATGATTCTAGTGCTCTATTTTTTCCACAAGAAAAAAAAAAAATGAAAAACAACTTGGTTGAATCTACTAAAAAAATCTATATTTCTTTTCCTTTGCCTCACTAAATAAGTGAGCTGATTCTTGAAAGCAATACTCATGCATAGCCTGCATCAATCCAAAAGGTACTTTTTTCCCCCACTCTGTGGGCACATCTATGAGATGCTTAATGTGCATTAGACTAATTCTTCTACACATTAACGTGTCATGGCAAAATCTGTGAGCAGTAAAATTAGTCTACTAATTAGCACATTAAGCAACACAAAAAGACTGCGTGCCAGCACTAGTGTGCAGTAGCACTGGTTATTGTGCACTTAGTTAGTACCTCATATTAAACATACCAAACAATGCAGAGTAACAACAGCACATTAATGCATGTGTAGATGCACTCTGCTACTAACAACCTGCTACTTGATGTTGGTCATTTTCTACAGACCCATGTCCCCTGATAGTAGCATTAAGGATTATGAAGTTTAGAATGGTTCAGAAAAAACATGCTATAGAAGCATAAAAACGGAGAAACTGAAGCCTAAGAATATAAGTGCTGCCCCATTCTAATGTTTGAAATTTTCTAGCCCATAGACAGATCTGATCTGTTAGCTTATCTGAGTTTACTGCACTGAGTTAAACTACATCAAAACTGTGTCAAACAGGGGTAACTAATGCACAACACAAGGGATGCTTGACTGTTTTATGAAACCAGTCCATTTTGCAAAATATATTAACTTATATAACAGCAGAAGGGTCATTACTTACAGGCTTTCTGACATCTGGTAAGGTAACCCACAGTGGAAAAACAATGGGTAAAAAAATAAGGTATGTGATCTGTTTGCGTGAAGTTTCAGGCCAAGCCAGGCTGAGGGGCTGGTCATCATCATCCTCTTCTGAATCCTAAGAATAGAAATAAAATCCATAAAAATAGAAATAAAAAAGAATGTTGGAAAAATAAGATTAGAAGTCAGATGAACGTCAACGTGCCTCATTCAAAAAGTCCTTAAATAGAGATAGGGTTACTGGGTTTGAATCACCGCTGTCAGTGCCTGGAGGCATAAATTGTACCAGCCTGAAAACAAGCATTCTGCCTCTGAGGGAAGGCAGACTGGTTTTACGCTGTCACCCTTCTGGTGACCTCACATAAGGGACAATATTAAACTACACCTGGAGTGTCACATGAACTTTCCTGGCAAAAGCTGCCTAAGGATGCACCTGACTGGTATCTCATCCACCACTGTTAGTCATTCATTTGGGTTGTACTGACTACCTTCAAAACTCTTGGACCAGGTGGGGTGTTTGCTTCTGTTTATGCTACTGCCACATGTCCATAAGTATTTTCCACTCATATTTTCTGCATCTCAGGTTATTCTGGTCACAGCCTGATAGCCCCAGCATGAGCCTATCCACGTTGTTTTGCTCCGTTACTTGTCAATAACATATCAGATTCCTAACAGCTAAGTAGTAAAAGTTTGGAGAAAAACATTATTCCCGTATCCATGTGATGCATCTTCTTTTCAATAACCTCCTTCCAAGTTTTCTGTACACTGTCCTGCTAGTTGCATTTCTGCCATTTACTCTACCATGGGTAGACTTTAAGGAACTTTTCCTGTGAGATGGGATCTTTATGGGTCGCTGTATATGTGCAGGGATGCTGCTCTGACACACTGGCATTACATTACATCAGATTAGATTTTATTAAGGTTGCTGGAGTGTGATAATTAGCACACTCCAGCAGCCTCCTCATTTTGTGTAATCAGCATCCCTGTGCTTCAAAATGGCAGCAGGGGTACTTTAACTAAAGCTCATCAGATGAACTTTAGTTAAAGTGTCCCCACCACCATTTTGAAGTGCAGGATGCTGAATACATGAGATGCTGAGGGCACTTTAATTAGAGTTTAATTAGAGTTAAATCTCCCTGTCGCAGAGCACTGAGGTGCCCTACTCCTAAAGAGGAGAAACTGCTAGAGAAATAGCCCTAGCAGTGAATAAGGAGCCCAGCTGTTGGTTGCCAGAGAAACTGGAGTCCACAAATGACCCACACCTGCCAGCGGTCAGCTGGCTGTAAGGGGCAGGGCCTGGCTGAGCCCAGGAGCTGAGGTCAGGGGAGTTCCCTGCAAAAAGCCAGAGAGGCAGGAGCTCCCTGAGCAAAGATGCAAGAAGAAGCCTGACCGCAGGTACAGCTCAAGCCGAGTAAAGGATGGCAGCTCTAGGATGTCTGAGCCGTGTGGTTTTAGCCGGGTGGCTTTAAGTTATGTTATAGCCTAGGGGCTTGTGTTTTGTTTTGTTGTTACACCAGTGGTTTGGGTGAGGCTATCAGGGGATGGAGGAGGCCTCATAGGGGACTCACACTAGTGTGGGGACCCCAGCACCAGTGAGGGCCCAGTATTCGGGGTGTATAGACCCCAGCCCCAGAGAGGGGCAGCTGAGAAGCCCCCGAGAAGGGGGCATTACTGAGAAGCCCCAGGGTGGGTGTGGTGAGCCCCCGAGAAGGGGGCATTGCTGAGAAGCCCCAGGGCGGGTGCGGTGAGCCCCGAAGAAGGGGGGCAGCAGTGAGGTGAGCCCCAGAGAAGGGGGGCTTTACAGAGAAGGCCCTGAGAGAGGGCATGGAAAGAGGGAGACAGAGAGAGACCGAACAACATCTATTCCAGCTGCGAGGCTTGGGGCGTGGTGAAAGGGGTGGTTGGAGCCACGCATAGCCCATAAGGCTAGGGTGCCCGTGAAGCACCCATGGTAGAGCAGAACCCATCAGGGGTCCGGGAAACCACGAGGTCTGAATCAACACTGAGAAGGGACCAAGAGGGCGTAAGGCAGCCTCCCAAACTTATTTAAACATCAAAGACGTGGCGGGCGAGAATCAGAGGGTGCCCTTGGGCCAACTTGGCATGGAGGAAGGGGGCCTTAAGGAGATCACGGCCCTCCTGTAGGACCCCGCTGTGACACTCCCCCAAGCCTGGAGCATGTGTAAAGATGCCCTATGGTCTTATACTTTTCACCCCCTTTTCCTATATCCCAGCTCTACTTTCATTCTTCTGTGCAGAGTTTAAGCCATCTTGTGTTGCCAGACTGAGTCAGAAAGTCACAACTTAAACTAATATCACATTTACACCTATTTTCTGGCTTATTCACAAGAGGGACCAAGGGGCTAATTTCATCCTTGATTTAACTAAAAAAGGTGACATCAGTGGGTGCATCCACACATACAAGCACGTGTGCTTGCAGCAGCTCAAATAGAAGCGGTGCGATCTTGAGCTGGGGCTTTTTGCTTCAGCGCATGTGCTCGGACATGCACTTTGTTGTGGAGCAAATTGTGCCACTTGGGGCAAAATAACCCTGCCTGGCTCCTCCCAAATCTTCAGCCAGGGGGAGCTATAGCCCCGGGCCAGCACCTGTGTTGTCCCCAGCAGTATAAAAAGCTGCCTTGTCCTGGCCCCAGCAATACAAAAAGCCACCCTGGCAAGTAGCTCAGAGCTACTAGCTCTCAGGAGCTTCTG